CCCCAAAACCCCAAAACCCCAAAACCCCAAAACCCCAAAACCCCAAAACCCCATGACAGATATCCGAGATTGAAAAGGAGTATTTTAAAAATGGAGGAAGAATCCTTGGATAGAATCCAACCCCTTAATATAGAAGGACAAGAGACTAAGAAGCCTCAGAAACTTGAAATGAGCATGTCTTGGGATGCTAGTGCTGCTGTAGTATCTATAACTGAGGAACCGAGTAAATCCAACCGCAGAAATATTACTATTGGGGCTGTGCTGATGCTGATTACCACAGCATTGCTTACTTCAGGGCACTTTATGGTAAAATTAATCACACATCATCATAAATACATTACATGATTCGATATTTTGTTCTTTGTCGGGATCATGAATGTTACAGCTTATGGTATCTTCGCTCGGTTTGCTGGAGCAGAACTTAATTTCCTAAAACTTGACAAAAAGGTGACAATGCTACTTTTTGGAAGAGGGATAACAGGAAATGTGAATTTTGTGATGATACTTACCTCAATAACATTAATTCCACTATCAAAAGCAACACTAATCCTCAGCTTGAATCCTCTATCTTGTGCAATTGTTGCTGCAATATTTCTAAAAGAGAAGATTTCTCCTCTCACTATCGGATGTATCCTGGGCGCATGAGGAGGAGTATACCTCCTCACTATCAATAAGCAGAGTAAGGGTTCTGAAGAGGGCAGCTTAGTTGGATACATCGCTATGATCTTGGCAAGCTTTTTCTCTGGTGTAATATTCATCTTCATGAGGTCTCTGAACAACCATAAAGCCCATGTGTCCCAGTGCAACTTCTATATGGGAGCGTTTGCCTTGTTGCAAGGAATCGTACTGTATCTGACCACTGATGGGCTCATAAATATCCCGCGCTACACTATGCTCGACTTCATTGTTCTTTCAAGTAAGGCTAAACACTTCTTTGACTTTGTTAGTTGCAAATTTTATAATAGCGTTTATTTTCTGGTCTATTTTGGACGTCATTAAGCTTATCAAGCTACTTTTCTTTTAATTGCTAAACATTGGATTATAGGTCACGGAATCTTTTCTGTTCTTTGGACTCTATGCATGTTCTTGGCTACTAAATACACAGAAGCATCATTCGTAGCTCCAATCATCAACCTTGAAAACTTCTTCACGATCTTCGGTGATATCTTCTTCTTCCACTACTTATTCATGACTACCGACTTCATCGGGATGACTATTCTTGGTACTTGTATTATTGTTCCTATCGTGTATAACTACTATAAGCATTAAGACCAAGAAGTGGCAGGCAGGAAAGAATAAGTGTAATTCTTGGATAAGACCTGTAAGCAAGCTTGGAGTGGCAGAGGAGGATTTGGGGCTTGGGTGTTTGAGTGGGATTTTAGAGGAAGAAGAGATTTTTGGGGTAGCTGGAGGGGTAATTGGTCAATTGTGGGCGAACAGGTGGGGTTTTGGGGTTTTGGGGTTTTGGGG